TCTATAAAGAATTAAATAATTACCCATTTAGCAGACAGTCTGAATCATGTTTAGTAAGTAAAACATGAAACTAGTCGAGCAGGGAGATTAAAACGAAGTAGCCTTATCTTGTCTTATGCAGAATCCCTGCTGAAAGTAATTATGATGAAATTACAATGCCTTCGTGTCAAAGGAAAAATGAGTTGCCCACATAACATTGATCTGTCCTAAATGTTGTTTCAATTAAACTTGTCAATTTTACTTGACTACATTTGAATAAAAAAAATTATTTTAGCTCATTAATTATTTTAAAATTTTATTTTAAGGGTCATGCAATTCAATAAAAATAGTTTCTTTTTTTTTGTTTTTTGCAGTAATATAGATATTTCACTTTTAATGCTGCATGGAAATTGGCTGTTGCTGGGTAAAGAAATAATGTGGAAATAATTGAAATTTCATTGAAAAACAAAATACTTGTAATTAAAATGAAGCTTTTAAATGTCAATTATACAAGTCAAGGGTTAGAGAGTAATTTATGGAGTGCTTGAAGACAAGAATTTCTATACATCACTCATGTATCTGACTGAAAACAGCTTAAAAAGTTGGTTCATCTGGGACAAGGAGTTCAAAAAGTTCTAATGCTAGTCATATAGGATATAACTCAGACATCTAATGCATACTCATAAGGCTAAGTGGTTTCTCAGTCAAATTGCCAGAGTATGAAATCATATGAAAATAGGCAAGTAAATACCATTTCTGTGGCAAACAAAAAGGATAACAGAATTTTTTTTTTGCCCGTGTACCTCATAGGAACTACAACTTTCTCTGCTTTTGTTTACACTATCTACTTCTCAAAATAGAGACTATTTCCAGGGCATTTGGAGAATGTTCAAGATTTTCATTCAAACAAGTAAAAGATCTTGTTCACAGTTAGTAACACAAGCAGTAGAATGTTTTATTTTTTCAAGTGCAGTGTTTCTAGAGATTTTTTGTGCCTTACAAATCCTACTTGAATTTTGATAGCACAGGTTAGAAATACCTTTTGGAGTTTGTGCACAAATTTGGCAATAATGTTTATGACTTATTTAATATTGGCTTTAGCTTGTACAAGATACCTGATCTCTTCATATTTGGGTATTATAATTATTGCAGCTTCTCTGAACAAAAAGCAGTATGATCTTGAATAAGCTCTGAACCACCCCTAAAATATCACCAAAACGTGCCATCTTTCCAGTGTTACTCATACACCATTATCTCCTCCTAAGAACACAAAATGCACCTCATATTTTTTTCATACAAAGGCAAACATCTAATTAAAACTACTCTGAAGAGAAGAAATCCCTCTTTGCTTCTTTCAGTTCTCAGCTATGAAGCTTATACTGCCAGTTTGTAGTAGCCAGTTGACTTTTTTGTTAGCTTACTGTGGTTTGCTATTTTGTCTCATTTTTTTTCCTGTATATATCACATATCATATTCTTTCTGTTTTCTCATTGTGAGGTGTTCAGCTTGCAATTTTAGTTGGCATGTAAGATTTCTTTGAATCATCTTCTGGAATAAATAAATGTGTTGATTTTACCTCTCCAGGACAATGTCAATTTATGTTGAGAGGTGACTAATCTAAGAAAACTGCCTTCTGCCTTTTCATCCCATATTGTTTGAAATACTGGATAATACTTTTTTTTTAATATTGTTCCTGTAAAAGGAACCACCCTTATGTTTCTATGGTGTATTCATTGATCCACCTCCACTGTCCTGTTTGAATAGTAGTTAGGATGAACCATAATCTGACCATAGAATTCCATATGTGTGTTCATAGTCTACTGGGAAACAATTATCAAAATTCAGTAAATCTCTATGTAAAGTGTAGGTGATTAGAAAAAAACTCAGAAAAAAGAGCTCAGTAATATATGGATGAAGACATATTCAAGATTTAAAATTTACTTTTGTTCAGTGTCTAATCTACCAAGTGTAGCACTTAATAAGTTGTAAAAGTCTGCTCCTAAAATTATTCTGGCTTGAAATAATTTTCTGTTTATTTCTTTGCACTGGCTCCAAAAGAGAGATTTCTTGTGTGGAATACCATATTATTTATTACTCATATTTAAATTTTGGTGAGCTGAATCCCACCATCAGCGTGCTTGTTTTAAAAATTGTGTTAATGCATAATGTCTACTGCTTTCAAATTCCTTATGCTCACTTTTCCTTCCATTTCAGAAGTGGTCTCAGTATAATTAGAAAAAATTACTCTGTTGTTTTGAACTGACTTTAGTCCTAATTCAGATGGCCATTAAGCATTCTCTTAAGACCTTGTGTGTTCAGCTCAGTGTAAAAGTGTTGTTTGAATAAGAATTGATTCAAAGATTGATAAGAATTGAAATTGGAATATTACGTGTTGTAATAGGATTTTTTAATCCTCACAAACTTTATTGAATGTTTTGTGAAGTACACAATTCCAGATACACTTTTTTTTTTTAAACTAGACGATCTTTAAGGTCCCTTCCAACCCAAGCCATTCTTGTGAATGTTTTTTTAATAACTTTATTTTTATACTCCATATGAATTAAATCAAAGCTATTCTCTCTGTTCCTCAGGATAGATTTAACACAGTTCTTTTAATGAAATCAACATTGTATTTCACTGCGTTTTTTAATTTGCTCCTAGTTTAACCTTATGGATATTGCTTAGAATACCACACCAAAATCAGTTTTTATAAGTATTATCAGAGCAGCTTGAGACATTGTTATTCATGGTTTAGTTTTCTCTTATCTGTTTATTTAGAGACACTGAATAATGTATGTTGCACTCTTAGAGGATAAGAAGGTATTTTAGGCAGAAGACACTGTGCAAACCCCTACAGTTAAAAATCAGATCACATGTGATTGAAATCTGTTTAAAGCAGGCAGATATTTCAGAGACCATTCAAACAGCACAATTACTGTGTATATGGTCCAGAACTCAGATCATGAAATTACTAATAAATCACATGCAGAACAAAAGCAGCAGCAGCATACTTTCCCACATCACAGCAGATACCTTGTCCTCATAAAGCTGCTGAAGTTTTAAGGAGGCTGCATGAGTTCTGCACTTTCTCACCAGGAGCAAGTGCAGCAGGTATGCAATACCTCCTCAACAGGCCTGCCTGGTGTTGGGGAGAGTGAGAACACGGTTCTGAAATTGTTAACAGCTGCTGTGCTTTGCTTACCCTGCTTCCTTCATTACAGCTTGGCAAGCTCATTCCCTCTGCTGTACCTTAGTCCTCTGTGTCTGCCTATGTTTGGGTTTCTGCTGGTGGTTCCACGTTCTGCATGCTTTCCTCAGAGTGGAGCAATGTGCTTTCCCATAAGTCCTAAAGGTTATGGGTCAGCCTCCTGCAGGCTCTGTGTTCCTGAGAAATGGGCTCTTTCTGTTGGTGGTAACTCATGTTTTGATGTCACTGTTCTGAATTGTTCTTCATGTTGTAATATTGAGTTAAAATGTACTCCCGTGAAAGTTAGCTTTTCATATTGGGCTGGAAACTCTTCATCTTCGTCTAGCAATTTGTTTTATTATAACCAATGGCTTTTAATTGTACCTCCCATAATGAAGAGCTGACTTAATACTCTGTGCTAATCTTGTTATGACTTTAAAAAGGTAAGTAATTTCTCTAACAATTCCTAACAGTCATGGTAGAGTGTTAAAGGGTTTCTCAGTTTTCTTTTTTCATTATTTTTCACATGAATTTTTCACTTGTAGCATGAACTTTTCTTTGTGTCTTTCTCTATTTTTTCTTGATTTTTTTGACTGATTTTTATTTGCAACAAAACATATTATGTAAATTTAAATGAATCCAATTTAGTACAGTCACTAATTTTGTTTTTCAGACCTATCATAACAGATAGAAGTTCCTGCAGGACTCTTTATTTTTACCATTCCCTTTATTTATTTTTAAGTACTTTATTTCACATTCTATTTAGTACTTCAGCCTCTGGGAGAAAGCTTACTCTGCGTTCCAGCATGATGAAGTTACATTTTCAAGAACATAAAATCCAGTTTTCTTAAAATACAGAGTAATGTGAACTGAATGCTTTGGGTTTGGTTACATTCTGTCTGAACTATGCAGGGGAATGGTACTGGCTGGTAGCCCAGTGTATCTTCTGCCAAGATAGATTGTGAGCCAAGAGGCTGTAGAATGGACAAACAATAAATCTATATTTTCCCTGTGAAGGAAAAGACAGCCATAGGTTATTTCTGTAACTACCTGTGAATAAGAATTACAGTAAATTCTCCTAATAATAACTCTCCCCAGTCAGTCATGGTACTACAGCAATGTAGCATGGATTCCTCAGTTAACAATAGCTGTGAAAAGAATACAGGTTTTTTATAAATGTCACAAATAACAAAGTAGTAAAACATGCAAATAATGAATATTTTAAAAGACACTTAAAGCACATGACCCGATTTATAAAAAGCTCCATTGCTGCCAAAACTGTATGTGTTAGGAAACTGGTGGGTTTTATTCAAAATCATTTTACTGGAGTTTTGATTAAAAATAACATTTAGGATAAAAATGTGTGATTCATATTAAACAGAAGTATTATGTAATAGCTAATTTTGATGTCAGTTATGTTAAACCATGGTTTGTATTCTGCAGCTGTGAGCATAGGTTGGGAAACGATCAAGTCTAGCTGATCAAGCCTTTTATTTTATTATCATGGATTCCTCTTCCACAGCTGCTTTTAAAATTTGTGGGAAGCAAATTATTTCTCATACTGCATATGTTGCCCATCAGGTGAGTGATGACATGGAAACTTTAGGCTGGGTGTAAGAAATCAAAAAGTAAATATGAAGTCCTCTGTGTGCACAGAATTAAAAAAATGACCTTAAGAGGCTGTATGTTGAAGCCAGCTGTCTTTTGTTACCATTGTCATTTGGACATTTTAAGAGCAAAACTTTGTCAGCACGTTTTTTATATTAGAAGATTTGATCTGCAAATCTCAGCTGCTCTGTTCATTATAAATCTCTTGTTTTTGTCCATACACTAGCTCCACTATAGGTTGGAAGGGCTTAAAGATGAACTGAGGAGGAATAGAGGCTACAACTCGAGAGTAACTATTACTGCTCAAAGGAGCTGTTTTCCATTCGCAAACATTGCTTTGCGCTATGGGTTTGGGCTCCTTCTGTTCCTCCACTTTGTTGAAAGACTCTCTCTTGACTTCCATTTTACTTCTTTAGCACTGTCTTTGTCTGCTAACATTTTTCCTCCTTCTCTAGTAGCTTTTATCTGTGTCCTTTGGATCACATATTTTACTTAGTTTGTTTTAGTAGATTGTTTCAAATGTTTGTGTTTTGTATTTTTGGTTTTTTGCCTTTTTCTTTAGGACTGTGTTATCTCACTGAATTTCATTCCACAGTTGCTGAATCGCTTGGTTGTTTTGCAGCAGGTCCATTTCTCATTTTCTCTTTTCATGTTTTTCAGTGAGAAATAAGAGAGCCTCTTCCATTTTAAACAGTAGTCTTACACACCTAGGCCCATGTCTCCTTTTGCATTCACCATCTTCTGCCTTGCCACATCCATCCTGCTTCTCTCTCCCTCTCAAACTGTGCTTCTCTTTCTTTTGTGTTTTCTTTCCTGCCATTATACCACCTTTTTTGGTCCAGAATTGTCCTTCGGTAAATTATAGGTAAATATTTACTTTTTCCAAAGAGAGTTCATTTTATGCCTTTGAAATCTGGTAAAACAACTCTGGGCCAAATTTGGGCATCATTAATATTTTGTTTGCAGTTTTCTTGTATAGTATTTTTGGTGGGAAGGGGGGAGGGTGTGGGGTGTTTCTGTTTGTTTTTGTTAAACAAGAGTTTTTTTCAGGGAAGGACACCATAACCCACTCTAAGTTGCAACATTACTTTCCATAAGTTATTCCATTACAATAAGTAGATTGTGTTGCGCTGTAGAATCCAGTTTTTTTATGTGACTATCTATTTGGGGCAAGCTGCTGTGGACCAGAAGAAAGAGGTTTAGAAGCTGGGGCACAGTTTGTTTCAGCCTTAAATGGTTGCTCCTTTGGGAAGACAGCTTTTGAGCAGCTGGGGGTATATCATTCTTTATCAGTTGTTAGATCATACATATTCACTTCCTAGGCAAATTTTCTGTGACTGGAAGTGAAGAGCGAGGTCTGAAAGATAATCTGGATTGAGTCCTTTGCTTTTGCAGCAGAGACAGATGTTCTGCTGGGAAATTACACCCTCAGCATCACCTGTGCTATTCCACTTCTTCCACTACATGTGCACACTTTTATTAGTATTCTCATTGAAATTTAAAATATCTTTGTCAATAAAGTAAAAAAGAGAGGAATTCAGTTCTTACTGTCTCAGACGTTTGTCTTCCTGTGAAGTTTACTTTAGCTGGGGTTTTGTCCACACAAAATGGTTTTTATTCAAGTGCTGACAGTTCAGTCTTCTGGCCTGACAGTAGTCCATCTGAAAACTTGCAGCTTCAGGGTTATTATACATGGTGCTGTCTTTCCAAACCTGAGAAGAACTAACAAGAACTGATGCTTCCCTACAGATAAAATTTAAACTGTGTTGTATTTACAAGGCTGATACTCTTTAAAATAAAAACCAATTCTTTTTTAAATCTGTATGGTAAACAGAATTGTAAATATCCGATGTTACCAGAATATAAGACCAATGCGAGTGTCCAATTTCCCTGTAGTCAGATCAATTTATCTGGAATAGCACAGTGGTAGCTAAGCATCAAGGAAGAGGGTTTGTTGAGAAACATGTCATTCTCACACAGTTGTTTTTTAAAGTAGAATTCCACTACAAAATTCATAGTGAACACAGCATTTTTTTTAACCAGATAGGAACAGCAGAGTAAATTTATCAGCTCCATCCAGGAGCCGTTTATACAGCTGTGTGTCACTTATACAATTGCGAAGAATTCTCATAAATCATCTTCAGAATCAACATAATTGAAAGTTAATATTTTAAACTCTCAATACTTGAAAATATCAGCAATAGAATTTTAAATTGGGTCATATACTTTCGTTAGTAATCTGTCTAATCATCCAACAGGATCTAGATTCAGAGCTACTGTAATTACAGATGTATAAGAAAATGTGGATTTTCTGTTGAAGCTTAACATATAATTTTAAGCACTGTTCTTTGATTTTTTTTCTCACTTACTGTCCTTAGGCCATCTTGTTTCTTATGGAAGGGGTGTGGAATCAAGTTGCTTGTATCAGATTCTGATCATCAACTACTACCCTTCTGCTTAAATATACGTACCTCATGCAAAATATGTAAGAATGCTGCTGAAAATATGTATAGCCTCTGTCTTAGATCCCAGGAGCTTGCCCATTTTATCTCTGTATTTTGCATTCTTGTTAACTTCTGTAGCTCATAGACTCTGTGCTCTCTCTGCAGGTCCAGTCTAGGTGCAGCAGCAAGGAGAACATCCTCAGAGCAAGTAAGTGCAGAAACTTCTTAGCTCGATTGAGGAAATAAGACTACTCAGAGAACAGCAAGTGATAGCCAGATCAGAGGTGGGACTAAATGAGTTTAGCAGAAATTTAATAACTTAAGACAGTGAAATCCAGTCCAAAGGTAAAACTGTAAATAGCTCAAAGTGTTCATATATTAATGGAGAGTCACCTTTTAATTTATTCGTCCAAGTTGTTTTTCTGATGACGTGGAGGTCTTTGTTGTTTGTGATGTTTTGTTTTAAGTGATCATGTGTGTGCAGCCTTTATGGGCAAGAATTAACGCTCAAAGACAATAAAAATGGAAATTCTCAACTTGAATATACATTATTTTTATTTTCATACTTCACCATTAATTTGAATGTTGGATTACATACAACCAAACCAAAAAATGCATAGGTTAAGAATTCACATTTGATCCAGATGATGTCTAGTTTAATTTGCACAATTATTTTTCTTTGTGTTGTGGGAATCTTTTCTAGTCTAAAATTTGATCCACCATATGTGTGTGTATATATATATATGTATAATGACAGGACTAGGAAGTTGTTTTGGTGGTAAAAGAGCAGGCTGTCAAGAATTTTCTACCTTATGCAACCAATTGAATTAGCTGCTTCAAAGCTAGAGGATTATTTTGTCGTACAAAATGCAGCTTAATGTTAAGTAGTTATTTTTAGAGCTGACATTCCACATTAGTGAAAGATAACTTGGTAAAGTCTGAGGAGTTGTTTAATGTCATTTGCTTGTAATCAAAGTACTATTTAGTAGTTTTACAATTTAAAAAAATCATTTGTTTGTCTCTGGCTCTATTTAAATCAGTGATACCTCTAATAGAAGAGTTAGCATTTGTTTGTAGGAAGAAGTGGGAGAGAGAAAGGTTAGTAGTTACACCAGCATCTTTCTTCTTTATGGTTATTCATGCTAGTGTTAAACCTAAAGGAGCTCAATTTTTCTTGGCTTTTCTTGCAGAAATAATGAGTGTTGCTTTTGATGTTGGAAAAAAGATGTCAGAGATTAGGGAATTTTCTCTATTTTCAAAAGGTCTGTGTTGGAGAAGGCATTTCTCAGAAGATTTTAACAGAAACTTTGACATAAACAAATGACATGCATTAGGGACAGACTTGCGAATCTGAAGGTTGTTCTCTGGGGACCATTCAAAGCATTCAAAACCTGTGAATTCTATCACTTTTTAAGGTTTAAAGAGGTGAAATGTGAGTTTCTGCAGTAGCTAACAGTGAGATTTAAGTAGCAGTGAAATTACTGCTAGAAGCAGTAAAATCATCTAGTGGCAATAGTGTAAAGGTTGTTCACTGCCGCACAATTCCCTCAGCTTTCATTGCTGTGATGTATTTTTTCTTAGCATCTTCCTTCATATTTTCCAACTTAAAACATCAGGAAAATTTTTCAGCATGTATTGTGTGCAATCTGCTGGACCTGCAGGAATAACAGTGCTGCTATAGCAGGGTGTCCTTCTCCATGCAGAGGCGGGTATGGGAAGTTTAATTGTATTTCACAAATGCTTTCCTTTTCCTCTTCAACAATGTTGTGAACAAAACCCAGGCATAATAACTGGAAATGTAACCTTGCTAGGGAGATCCCCGTTGTTAAAACCAGGAATGGAGTTTTTCCATTTGTTACACTTTTATCTTACAATAGTTTAATTTGGATCATTTCTCCCTAGTTTTCTTATGACAAAGTTAGGTTTAAGAGTTTGCAAAGTCTTAATATTTAGAAAATGTCTCATCAGCTGTTTCTCTCTTCCTCAAAACGCCAACTGCTATCTTAAGGAAAAGAATTAAGTCAATTAGAAATTATTTGTGCTAGACAAATTCACAGTGCCTGCTTTTTTCATCATGCTATCTTCTAAGTAAGTACAAAGAGATTGTTCAAATAATTTCTTCCAGAATCATTCATGGAAGAATTAGATGGGCAGTTTTACTTGTCTCTACTTCTTCCTCTGAAAGGTAGTTACTGTGTTAATAGTAAAAAATAATTAGCGAACAATCTCTCATATAAAAAGACAAGCATGTGTTAGTGCTGAACAAATATTGTGTATATAGATTAATTAAGAAACTTCAAAGCCAAACGTGTCATTAAAATTAGTTTCTGTACTGTAATTTATGTTACTTAGGAATATCATTACATATCCCATATAGAACATCATCCCCTTTGGCTCTCATAAATACCTTTTTGTTCCAGGAAAACCCTTTCAAGTTACTCTGCAATTGTAATTGTCCTAAGCTTTTGGTTTATATCTGTTACTCTTGTTTATGTATTCCTGCAATAGTTCTCTCTTGAGTTGCTTATCTTCACTTGCAAAATCCTTCAAAGCTTGTCCTCTTGTTTAATCTCTCAGTAAGTATCATGAAATCAAACATGCTGTTGGCTTCATTTTCAATCAACTTCTGTCATATTTTCTCCCTACCTGGGCCTCACACTCAGGAAAAACAAGCTTTCCTTAAGTTGTCCTACTGCCTCCACTCCAATCATACATTTAAATGACGTTTTGCTATGGTGACAACAAAACCTTGACAATGGGTAGGATGCCCACTATAGCTGGAGACAGTGTCTGCTGCATGGACTGCCTGGTGGCTTCATTGTGCTCTCTAGATGTTCCTTTCAAACCTTTTGACTGCCATCTCCCTCTTGGATTGTAGGCTCACCGGCACAGTGTCCAATGTTGCACTGTATCTGTGCACACGGCATGTTGAGTTGTGTTTGTGCGGAACAGAATGCAGTGAGTTGTCCTGAGTTCATAGAACAGAATTAGTCTCAGAATTGTCATGCTCAGTGTAAATTACTCCATCACCTGGAAGGGCTGCTGTTTTAGATTAACCAATCTTTTCATGCTCATCGAGACTTCTGGTATGCTCTTCATTATAGATAAGGATATACACTCTCTTGATTCTAGTTGAATACAGTGTCTTCCCAGTGTTGGACATGAGAGCTCAATAGTGATAACTAATTTAATTTGCTCCAAAGTGCCAGATTAATTTCAGTAAAGTGGTTTAAATGAACATCACTACACAAATCTGCTCACTGTAGCATACATGAACTTGTTCTTTCTCATTGCAGGTCACAGTGCTGTTGACATTACCAAGGTAGCAAGAAGACATCGCATGTCACCATTCCCATTGACATCTATGGACAAGGCCTTCATCACAGTTCTGGAGATGACCCCAGTGCTTGGAACAGAAATCATCAATTACAGAGGTATTATTAAGTTGGATTCTTTGTGAGCATGAGGGTGATTATAGTTCATCTCAGTCTCTTTTTCCAGTTTCTAATTAAGTTCCAGAATTTTCCTCGTCTTCACATAAGTACAATTCCTTTTCTTTTCTACCACTACGTGATCATTTTCTGAAATTACTTCCTTTTAATTTTTGATCCATAGAAACCTTGTAGAGAGTAACTGGTTTTGATTTATGTGGTGAGGTTGTCTTCAAAAGCACCAAACAGTGAGCAAAATACCAGACTTTGTGACTTTGTGACTGTATCTATACTCATGAATAAGCAGGGATAGATGAAGTGATTTTCTGGTCCTAAAAGGAATTAGCAAGGCACCACTCATGCTTTTTGAGCTAAACTATCCTCCTTCCTGAAATACTGTTCATAATGTCTATTAGGTGCCTCGCTAGCTTCTGCTGTTCCTTACATCAGGCCTAGGGGTTATCTGGGAGAATGGTCTCGGCACATAACAAAACCATGACAGGAAATACGCTGACAAGTAAACCTAAACTAGCTAGGGAAGCAGAAACCTCTTCTAGGGATTCTTCCAGATTGTCCAAGAGTTAGGTGGTGAGCAAAGAGATTGTGGCACCATAAACCTTGAAAGACAAAAATGTTTAGGACATTGGTGTGCTACAGACAGCAGAGAGACATGAATGGTTTGTGAATGGAATATTCTGTCTTCTGGCTTGGACAGAAGTTTTCATTCAACAGTTCAAAGTTTTCATGTTCTTTGCCAAATCTGTGTGCTGCCAGAAGCCTTCAAGATGTCTTCATATTGCATACTGATTTAGCAGAATGTATGTAATATCACACCTGTGCATTTAGTGACTCCAAGTTCAGTGCTCCCCTGTGCCTTGGCAGCAGGATTTCTGAGAAAATGCTCCTTATGCTGCATTTAGAACAGCAGCAATACTGGATCAACAAGGAATATGCATAGTTCACCCTGCACTTTCATAATGGTGTGCAGATTAGAAGGCACTAAGGCATAAATGCCTGAGCATGACTATTTTTGGGCCTTTTTGGGTAGCTGTCAGTTAAATGTCTCCTCTAAGACAGCCCTTTGTAAACAATATGATGAGCTGTGGTGTTGGGTACATTCAGTCCAAACAAATGCTATGTATTCAACCCTGAACTCCTGAAATAAAGGATGAAAGACTGGCATCTGCCTCCCTGAAAAATAAGCACATCATATATTTATTTTGGTATGTCAGATACAGTTAAGGTACTGTAGGATTATTATTCTTCATTGAATAAAAGAAGTTTTGATGCTAAGTCCAGAACATATGTATTGTTATTCCTGGCACTCTTGTTCTTTCAAAAATAATGAACTGAGTCTGCTGAGTCACTTTAGTTTTGACCCTCTTCCCTCTCACCCAAAACACAAGTGTTAGATCGATGGTAGCATTCGTAGGTTCAGAGACAGATTCTTGATTTAATGTTCACATAATTATACCAACAGTTCCTTCATATTTTTGCACTGTAGTGCAAAATTTTATCTTGCAATTTGTTTTTCAACTAGTATACACTTAATTTAGCACTGTAAGATTTCCAAGTATATAGTATGAAATTTCAGGATAGAGCCTATAAGAGACAGCCTAAAGGACGTGCTTGTGTCGGTGATACTGTAAATTCAATTCTCCTAATCTACAGATACAAATCTCTAGACAGAAATGAATTTCCTGAAGTTCTTAAGTGATCACCATAATGTTATACAGACAAATACATGGAATTTTTTGGTATAAATATATGTGTTTGTGTGTGCATGTACACACAGTTATGTGTTTGATAAAAAACGTTAATTTTGAAGAATGCAATGAATTAAGAACCATTTTTTAAATTAGTTACAGGTTCATTTATTGGGTATTTTTGTAATATACATCTAATTTCAGAAAATTGTAAAAATTCAGTTCTGGACATCTGAAGATGTATTTAGAAAAGCACTATTGTGCTGTCTTGGTTTTCTTTGTGATTTTGTGTCTAGAATTGCCACTGAGCTTCTGTAAACTATCTTTCAGGAGCACAGTTTCTCCCCAAGGAAAGTGAAATGTGCAAAATTCAAGGAGTGTTAATTGCCTAATTAATTTAACCTGATTTAGTTAAAACTAAGCGTATTTCATTGCATTCATCCTTGTAAATAAAGCTGCTGAATGATATTCTGTACAAATACCCAGTACAGTCCTGATTTTATTCTTGATTAAGTCAAGGTACACTGTAGTCTCTCTGATCTATCTATTCTCTCCTACTATAAGGGAGAGGATCATTGAAGTTATGTTTTGAAACGTGACTTTCATGCCGGTATGTTGCTCAGTGACTGCATAGATCATTTAACCTCTTTCACATTTAAAAAAAAATGGACAGTCCTGAAGCATTTTACAAAAGTGTCACCAACCAAAGGCATCTGAAGCATGTTTCTCACCTGTCATCATCAATATCTGGTATGAAGCCCCCAGCTAGGCTTTTATTCCAAATAAATGCAGTTACCTGAGTATAGCTCCATGGGCACATAAGGCTAAGTTTGTAGACAGCATGATTATGATCGTTCTTCTGAAACTAAAATGCAGAAGCAATCTGCATTTTATAAGCTTAAGTCAGAGAACAGCACATTTATTCTAGTCTAGTCCAAGAGTCTGATTGATTGTTTTGGTAGCATTGACTTTTCATTCCCACTGAAGTGCTACCAGGGCAGTATTTACAAAACCCATCACATCCCAGTGCAAGATCTGTCTTACTGCTGTGCCCCAGAGAAATAAAACTTCTTCACAGAACACTACCAGGTTCACCACCTGAGCTTAGCAAGTACCCACATTTGAAAAATGAGTTTAATGTGATTCTCCATTTTGTGTCAGAAAGCTATGGGCATCACAAGGGGCAGTTTGATAACATTAAAATTCTTCAGAACATTTTTATGAATTACAATTAACCAAAATAGGGTCGAACGGTATTTTTAGAATAATTTCTTTAATAAAAGAGAGTACAGAGGTACTCAAGATTGTCCTCTAGTTGCTGACTTGCTTCATTTTAAATGCCTATGGCTGTTTCAGCAAATAATTCTTACATTTTTCTTCTTGTAATGAAACTCATTCCCATTACTGGCTACCCATTTATTCCTTTCAAATATTGCATGGCAGTATGCCAAGAACTTACTGTTCAACTTTGCTCTAATTGGTGTGATTTTGCATGCAGACAAGAAGCAAAATGAAGGCACAACATGTCTGCTAAAATTAGAAGTATCACTTTTGTATGAGATTTCGTGTGTCTATGAACAAAAGGTGTTTTTAGTAGGCCTTTGATAGCTGCCCTTTCTGTGCTATAATTTAAATGTCTGTGTCATTCTTTTTCTCAGTCTAAGTGTACAAGCTTTTGTGAGCTTTCTAATAACTTCTGTATTGTGTATCAGAGCCACTGATATGCAGGTTTGCACAGGTGAATTAATGGGTATTAAAATAGTGCTTTTTTTAGTTGCTTTAACAGGTTTCAGCAGCATTTTCATGGCAATACTTCTGGCATTGCAGCATGAATAGCAACTTCAGGCTGAAAGTTGATACAACGGATATGAGCACAATAATATTACAGTTACAATAATTATTTACTAACTAAATCATTCTGTGTTAATAAGTAAAATATAGTCTTCATTATAATAGCACTTCACTGGAGTTGAGTGTTTTCAAATCGAGTAGGTGCACTTTTTAACAAAATCTGTCCATTTAGTGTGCAGCACTAGCTCTTCTGCCTTCCCGGTGAAGCCCACACGCATTTCCCTGTCTGTAAAAAAGAAAAACACACTTTATGCACTTCTCCTTTTTGGAGTGTCTCAAAGATCATAATCTCTATAGCACATATCCACACAAATTCTCCTGGCAGAAGTAATCATGCATCCTCTCACTCCATCATACTTTCAGCTGGATATTGCCTTTTGGTGCCACAACATGCCCTCGGAGCAGTGGCCTCTATTATGAGCAAGGCTTCCCTTCTTCTACTTAGACATACTGGAAACAAGCCAGTCTCAGTAGTTCTGACCCATGTGTCCCTTACCAGTACATCTAATTACACATGTAATAAATCTGCTTTCTCTCTCACACTATATCAAGGGGCAAGTTACATATTTTCCACTCTGTTCAATATCATACTAAAAAATAAAGCTCTTGCTGGTGTTAGCCACTTGACTGAGGGTGAAGTAATTCATATCAGTCTCTACAGGGAGTCTGAACCAAATTACAGCTCATCAGTCATAGCTGCTGAGTGAAGAGAAAGAGTATGTTTGAAACAGCTATTAAAATATTTAGTACTATAATAGTGTAAATTTATATAAATAATTCTGACACTTACTTGCACACACCCTGCATTAAGCAGAAATGCTCTTAGCAAATAGGTGAAGCTAATCTATTGAAAAACATCTTTGTCAATTTATGAAAACTGGTCTATCACTATTGTTCTCAATTCATCACCTCTCACCTTCTGCGCACAGGATTCACTTTTGGAATGTCATTTTTCAAGTTTTTCAAAATGAAATTTAATAAAAATTCAAATAAAGGAAAATAAAGAAAATATATATATTTAAGAGATATTAGGGGAAAAACTTGTCCTGAAGAAACAAATACTTGTTTTTTCCTGTCTGGTCCTTAATCAGAGCTATCACCTTCGGGCTTGGATGCTGGCCATTCAAATCTACTGTCAGCAATTTCCCCATAACCAGGAGCACAGACTTCAACATATCCTTTATCATTACTTTCAGACTCCAGTCTTTTTTCCTGTAGGTAGTGTCAAAAATCAAAAAGCCTGAGAGGTCTGTATGTCCCATACACATACATTTCTCCTATTGGACAGCACAGCTGTTAACTTTGTTTCCCCCTTTCACTCACTGTAATGACACAGAGCATGGTCTTTTCTCTTTTTTCTAGATGGAATGGGGCGAGTCCTTGCTCAAGATGTATATGCAAAAGATAATCTACCACCGTTTCCAGCATCAGTAAAAGACGGTTACGCTGTCAGAGGTAAACAGTCACTTTGTGGACATGAAGTATAGTGTCTGCTACTTTATAACATGTTAATTCACCTGTTTTGGATCCAGCAGGGCTTATTTTAGTTTAGATTTGCTACAGATCATTGCTGAAGTCACAGTTATATAATGCTGCTGCTTGAAGGAGGGCCGTAAGGCCAAGTTCAGATCTTTTAGGTGGATACAAGTGTACACTAGCAAATGTACACCCATGTGTGCTCCCAGATGTGCACCTCCACTGCTAGTGCATTTATTGGAAACATTTAAAATTCAGGAGAATAACAGGACACCTGTTCCTGAATTACAGATTGATCTTCTGTTCCTCTGTTGTAGATTTAATGAGGATTTTCTTTTACATCTATTACTTTGTTGAACTGATACAGATAATGATTGCATCAGAGAATTTTCAAAAAAACATTATGTTCTCTTATGGAGATGCGTCAAAAGAAGAGGTTCTTACTTTGAAAATACCGCAGCTGCTATATATAAATTAAATTAGTTGTGTGACTTTTTTCATTTCAAGCAGCAAATATGATTTCCCAAGAGACCTGAATTTGTACTCTGCTTTGCCACTAGGTGCTGCATCATTTTGAGCCAGTTGCTTCTCTGTGCATCAGTTTTTCCCTTTGTAAAATAAGAATAATGGTGCTCACCTCATATGTCTGTGAAGGAAATTTAAAATATACAGAATTGAACATTATACTAGTAGTGATTTAATTATGGCAGCAGTTGAATCATCATAGCACCGTGTTGAGATTTGTACACAATAGCTGACTTTCTTCCGGGGACATCAAAATACCTTTTTTGTTACTGGCAGTGGAAACCACGGAAGGCAACTGCCCATGAAATGGAGTGTCTGCAGACACAGGCAATGGATGTCACCCAGTAGCTTCCCCATGCATTTGATATAAAAATAAAATTTCAGGTCCACAAGACGAGTGTGTGTGAGAGACAGGCAGACCAAAATGACTAGTAATAGCGGGAAGGAAGTGCATATGTAGCCAGAGAAATACAGGCAATGTAACACTGAGAAAAGCTGAGAGGGAGCTCTGAGTAGAACGCTGAGTGACAAGGGCCTTGGGATCAAGCCAATGCTGTCTTGCAACCTGATTCCTGCAGGGTAAGGCAAAGCATGAGTATAATCTCAGTAAACATGCAGAATGAGCAGAGTAATCATGAACACCATTTTCAGCAATTTCTGTCAGAACCAATACACAAGCCCTACTTTTAGTGGTGGATTCAAGCAGAGTAACACTGAGATATTTGAATGTGTCCAGAGAAGGACACTAAAGCTGGTGAAAGGGCTGGAAGGAATGTCCTATGAGGAGCAGCTGAGGACTTTGAGTTTGTCTTGTTTGAAGAAAAGTATGCTGAGAGGTGGCCTCATGGCTCTCTACAGCTCCCTGCAGAGGGAAAGGGATCAAGGTGTCCAGTGAGGTTATGTGTGGGAATGGTTCAAAGCTGTTCCAGGGAAGGGTTAGGTTTGACATTAGGAAATATTGCTTTACCAAGAGGGGAGGCAGACAGTGGAACAGTCTTCCTAGAGAGTGGGTTGATGCCCCAAACCTGTGTGTCAAAGGTATTTGGACAATGCCTTTAATAATTTGCTCTACATTTTGGTTAGCCCTGAATTATCAGGCAGTTCTATTCTATTCTATACTGTTCTGTTCTATTCTTATTATTCTTGTGAACCTCTTATCTTAGGATATTTTTAAAAAAGCTTTTAGGCAGAGGTAATATTGGCTACATTAATGGATACTTCTTACAAAAAAATTAAGGATTAGCTTTCAGTGACACAACATGTCTGCCCAAATCCCTGTCCTTTTCTTGTTTTATATCATTGTCATCATCTATAAACTTTGTCTCCGTATTATTATTAGTGGGAGAATAAAATCTAATTCAGTAGCATTTTATCAGGTTTAAAATAATTTAGCTGTTAGGAATTTCTTTCTCTTCTTTTGCTGGATCATCCAAGTGCATTTTTTTTGGTGAAGGTCTAACAACTGTTTTCAGTAGTATTACATGCATTATTAAAGGATATCTAGTTGAAGAGTCCTTTTCTAATTTTTTATTTTAGAGTTCACTCTAAGGCTCATAGATTAGTCTATTTGATAGGCTTTTAAAGCTAAGTTAATTATTACTCTTCAAACATGACTAAGTACCACAGATAACGACCTGCAAAGCTGCAGCCAGTGCACAAGTACAAATGTGATAAATCATAGACTGAATGGACATCCTTTCTGAAAGTAGTTCTTCCCCATACAAGGTTACCTAGGTGTATATTCAGGGCTCCTGAAGTAAACACAGGTTATTAAGATAAAGGTTGTCACTGATTAGACTTCATCTCTAGGAAATCAACTTTTGACAGCTACATATTTAAAATCAATAATAATGCAGATTTCAATGTGATCACTCAAGCCCAGTTTGTTGGAGCACTCTTGGCGACATGACTACTGTGCTTGGAAAGGCAGAGCTGCTTGTGCTTCACACATGTTTTACACCATGAGGCAGGCAGGAGCTTAAATGTAGTAGTTGTGCCTTCTTTGTCCCTGTAAAAATGCATATTTGCTAAATTGGAAGTCCTAAAGACTTGTTAAATCAATGAGCTCTGACTCCTAATTTTCAGTATTGCGGTACTGTCATGAACACCCTTAAATCTTTGTTATTAATAGAATTCTTCCTAGTCTTCATTTACATGACCTCATACTGCCCAGAAGTTTTCAGTTAAAAATACTCTGTTCTCTAGAACCTGTGTTTTTCAAAATAATAGACACCCCTCAAATGGACCTAAAAGAATGTTTGCCGAACTTCTACAACCTTAGTCTTGCTAACACTGAGGAACTAAACATTAGATCATCTTTGTTCTTCTCCTGTTCTTAGTTTATAATGCCATCATTTGTTGTGTTCAGTGTTTACCATTTGTGTTGTCCCTCTTAACAGCTGCTGATGGCCCAGGAGATCGATTCATCATAGGGGAATCCCAGGCTGGTGAGCAGGTGAGCACAATTTCTTTCCTCTTTTTTTTAATGTGTTTTTCTTCTGTAAGATTTTGCTTTGTATTTTTACAAGCCTTGCTAGTGCTCCAAAATTCAATAGTCTTGGATGTGGTGTGAAGTAGGACACAGCTGTACTGACCCTCCTGCTATGTGCCTTGGGACATGATTTCAGAAAGTGAGGTAGTACAGTTACATAAGGAACTAACAAGGATATCCCAAAATACTTCAGAGCACTGTGCTGACATGTCTGATAGGAGTGCATACAGTAACATTCTGCCCTGGTACAATGTTAGAGGACATGAGATTTCTAGTGGCACAACAATTCATAAGCAGAGAAAAGAATTATTTAGCCCCCTCTTGCTGGAAGATTTTTAAAGGATGTCAGCCCAATAACTGTTTTCATAAGATGCTTCAATTTTTCACAGTGATACCTGCAAAATGAAGTGTATAAATTTTTTATTAAGCTTTTATAGATAGGTAACGATCTGAACAATCTTGAGGAAGCCTGGCAGCAGCCTGGTTTGAGGCTGGTTTCTGAGAAGGATGTTTGTGCACTTTAGCAGATACATGGATTGGTTTTAAAAGCAAGGTGAAGCATGACCTCTTTCTGACCTGCTGTGCTCAATAAATATTCATGAACAGACGCATTTCATGATTTGCTCTCAAACTCAAGAGCATATTTAATGAAATTTCTGTGCTAATACTGGGGTAATGAGAAAAAATAATCAGTTATGTTCAACTACTGTTATTCTGTCCATTTAATCATACTTGCCAGCTGTGTTCAGGAAAACATGAGTTAGGCCAAAATGCTTCTCCAGCTATTTCAAGTCCTGATTTATATTTCTGTGTATTGTATGTGAAATGATGGAGAAAGGGATAAGTCACAGGTAGAACAAGGAATTGATCAGTTTTAATGAGGATTTTATAGTGCGTCCATTTTGACTGCTAAACAAAAAAGTCCAAGTAAAATTGACATATTTCAAAAGTTGTATCAGGTTTTAGAAGTATTACCAGTTGCAGGAACTTGAACTGTCTCTAAATGTGTAATAGACATTTACTTTGGCTAATCATGATAGACAGGAAGAACTGTAAAAATTATTTTTGCTTTAGGTCCCATCCATCATCAAGAATTATACTTTGGTATAATAGACACCTTCTCAGTACTGATATTCATGTGAACTTAGAATAATGGATCTGTTGTACAAAATATGAAAAATTACTTTAAATTCTAAAAAACAAAAGCAAATCAATTCAGTGGCTTTTTAACCTGCCTTATATTTTTAGCTTTCCTGACTACATTTTCAAGAATTGGTCCAGAATCCAAAAGACTTGACAACTATTTTTACAACCCTTTTTATGATCACTATAAAATAGCAAGAACCAGCAGAGCAACCCACTGAATTATCACTTCTATCACTATTCCCCTGTCATCAATATTATCATTTTGCTAGTTAAATATCACAGCACAGTGTTGCTTAAAAGCAGTAGTGTTGAGGTTGTCTCTAATGGGGAGTACTTCCCATTAGAGACCTGAAGTGTTTCAGTGTCCTAGTAAGTTCAGGAGGTTTGTAAAAAAGATAAAAGAGCAAATGGAAGCTGCTTTCCTCCTGCAAAGTTCAAGAGCTCACAAATGTCTCTCTGCAGAGACAGTCTGTCCTCCCAGATTACAGGGAATAGGAAGGCTCTCTGGCGAGGAGGAAAAATTGGGTGGGAAGCAGGCATGCAGAGAGAGACTGTTTCTGAAAATACCAGTGGCAAGTTAGAAAAACAAGGCTGTTGACCTCAGAATAATTGGTCAAAGATTTTTTCTGGGGCAAACACATCTTCAGGTTCATCTCCTTCCCAAGAAATTATTTATAGCCTTGGAAGGCTCCTCAGTCTCATTTCACCCTTCAGTCACTCTCAGCAGCAACATTCTGCTTTTCATGTTACAGACCAATTAACAGAATGATTCACAGCAGGGAGTTCAAAATAGATTTAGATTTGGCTCCTCCTGTAGGGAAAAAGGTTATGTAAATGCTAGTAGCAAGGAAGATGGGACTCAGAATTGCAGGGAGGCCATATAGCCAAGTTGGACATTTCTGTATCAATTTTTAATTTGTGTATTTTCTGATTTCCATCTCCAGATGGTCATGTTTACATTAGCCCTTTTTTTATTGTGTATCAAGGAAAACTTTCAGACATCACCCTGCTTTGGGAGGGTTAGGGCACACTTGACATTACTGGTCACCAGCCATCCACAGTGGCCTGTTGGTGACACACTCAACACAGGAAAAATGGTTTTCCTTCTGTAGACTTACATAGACCAGAGGATTTCCTGCAAGACTTTCTAAAGGTGTTTATAAGAGGCCCTAGACTAATCAGCTACAGTATAGGATGAAAAGCAGGCATTTTCCACCATTCCATTAACTCGTGCCTTTTTACAGAAGGGAGTATGGATGATTTTAAATCACACAGGAGAGGGACAGTAATGTGCAGGAGAAAATGCCTGAGATAAAGATTGTTCTTAGTAGATTATTTCTGGGTTTTATTCAGTGAATAAAATGTAGCAGACTGTCAGTAATGAAGGCAAAGGAAGAAACCAGTATTGCCCCATTACAGGTAAAAGTGAGATCTCAAAGGCCTTTGGAAGAACTTCTGTGAAATTTTTGCACATTAATATGTTTTCTGAGGAGAAATCATTTCTTTATCTTCACAGTCTCTATCTTAGAGGAGCACAGCCCTGGAGATTCACAAATAAATGTGATGGTTGACTTTTGTTCATAAAGTTAATCTGATCAAATTCTCAGCAGACAAAAAGGAAATTAAATATATGAGCAACATAACCAGTTCTAAAAGCAATTGTATCATGAATTTGTTTAAATGTATCACATCATTGCATCTCAAAAAATTAACTCATCTAACAATAAACTCCAAAAACATGGTTAGTTACAGCACATTTTATTGCCATAGGTTCTGATTTGTGGCAGTGGTAGACATTTTGTATTCTTTGTGATGCTTTCTAAATGGGAGAAAATTTTTATGCAATATATTTTTCCTCTGAAATTTGTCATTTAAGCCAGCAATACTTAGTAAGTTCAAAACATTATTACCTATTTGTAATGTACCTTTAGATTATATCTACAATGATATGCAAAATACATAATCCAAGGTGTAAGCTTTGCCTTTTGTAACTTTTTTTTTCATAAAAATCAAGATGACCCACTAGATAGCATTATTTTCCCTTTTAAGCAGCTTTAGTATAAATGGCAGTATCTCTGCATTCCATCCCCAACTCCTTGAACTAGTCTGTGGTGAGGAATAAACATTGTTTTCTTAATTTTTATTTTAATTTTTTTTTTATAAATAGTCTGGTATAGGATAGCATGAATCTTGCCCTAAAAATACACTAACTGTGACATATGGCAGGTGTGGGTTTTATTTACGTTCTTCTCCAAGGATATTAGATTTTCATTACCTGTAGAGAAGGGTTAAGATTCAAGTCAATTCCAAGCTCAACTGTTTCTTGGAATATGAAGGTCACTGTGATACTCTGGTAAGCCAGATAAAAACCATCCCCAGCCTCTTCCTAGGGCTTCTGTTCCAAATGTGTGAAACACACACCTTTCAAAGTAAAACTCACCTTTCAGAGGTTATGACAGTGCTGAAATGGAGCAGAAGAACGGGCAAGGCAAACAGCTTTATGCAGTTCAAGTGCTGAGCAATGGTCTACAGTTTGGTCCCATCTTTCAGCCTCCTGACCAAAGTCATGGAGTAAATTCCTGCTGGGCAGGAGCAGGTAACAGTCTTGGGCAGAACTTCCTGCAACCTGTGGGTTGCTGCCAAATGTGTGCTAATTACAGTTTGAGAAGTGCTGGATGCATTCCAGCGCTGCATATGGAATATAGAGTCAATCTGTACATGAGTTACACATGTGACATTCAGAATATGCTGCTCTGACCACAGCTGCAGAGATCTGTGTGCAGCACATGTACACTTGTAACATGAAATAGGTGAAACCTAAATAAGCCAGGCTTACTGAAGTGCTGTGGGGAGCCAGCAGTGAAATCTCAATCACATCAGCTTTTTTTAGTTTCATTTTTTTAGGAACATTTTTTAGTTATTTATTTCTTAAATAGTTACGGTGAAATTACAGTTTTACCCTGGATTTTGACAAATGTTTATTAAAATAGTCTGCCTGGTGAGAAGTGTTATTAAAACTTTATCATTTGTTTTTTCATGATGTTCTGATATTTTTCTATTGTTTGTACTACTTCTGCTGAAACTTTTGAATGTCCTCTGACTTTATAGAATTCTAAATTGACCCTCACAAAGATAGGTATTCTCTGTGAACTAGTATTGAGCTGTCTCTGTGTTAGGAAATCTGCTTAAAAATTAAGCAGTTAACATTACATGTTGGTTTTTCATATATAGTGTGCCGGTAAAACAGAACAGAATGAAAATCCAACCAAAGCACAGCCATTTCAGCCCTGGTGACCAGAATGCTCTGCAAAAATATTTATGTACTGAGAAGAGCTAGATTTTTGTTCATGGAAGTTTCCAGAAGGTCACCATCTAACAGTTAAATTTCTAAGCCAGTTGTTTTTCTGTGCCAAGTATTTTTCTGAGTATCAGTATATTCCTTCTTCTGAAAGTTGTTAATAGATAGATCATCATTGTGATAGAAGTACAAGGAGAAAAAACTGAAGCCACCTGATATGTGGCAATATAAATAAAGCCAAGTGAGACTTAGAGTTTATTGTGCCTGTTGCTGTCCCTCATTATATCAAGGGTCATGCTGCAAATAAGAATTCTGGTTTTTCAGATAGATTACTTGTGTAAAGTTCAAGTGCTTTGAATTTTATTTTTTTTTCCCAGAAGTAGATTAATTTCTGGTTTTTTATTTTTCAGCCAACTCAGACTGTGATGCCTGGTCAGGTAATGCGTGTTACAACTGGTGCTCCAATTCCATGTGGTGCTGATGCAGTGGTGCAAGTGGAAGATACAGAGCTCATCAGGGAATCAGATGATGTGAGTCACAAGTTAAAAAACTCATTTTTATTTTGTGCAGCAGTAAATGGCACATGATACAATCCTGTAAATATGAAAGACAGTCATGCAGAAAAGCTCGTCAGTAATCTCAGAAGTTTGAGGATTTTTGCATCAGTTCCTAGTAGCAATTCTCACTTTCTCAGACTGTGATAATAGTACCACAGACCTTCCTGTTCTGACTGATTTTTCATCAAAATTGTTGAATGCTGACTCTAAAATGCTTGGTAGCATGATTTGAGTGAAAGGCAAATGCCTCCTGGAAATCCATGCCTATAGTCCAATTCAAATGCCTACTGTATTCACATTTTAAAATATAGGCTAGTGGAAACCTCTCCAAATAAGAAGGGGAAATGTTTTCTTAAATTACACGTTGATCTCAGAATAATACATTTAATTAGTGCTGATGTAATTAAAGGTGAATATGATTTTATGTGGGAAAAATGAGCTGTTTAAAGTGCCACAAAATCCATGGGATGACTTGGGTTCTTTTAAACTGTGCTATGAAGACAGTTCTGTATTATCAGAGTTGGTCTTGTTTCAGCAAAGGTGAATTTGGTGGATTTTGGAGAATACTTCTTGTACAAATACCTTCCAATGAATCTGTTTAGAAAAAGAGGTTTTGTTATGAAACAGGGGAAGTAAATGCCTCCCAAGATTTTTTAAAGTACATCTAATATTTTTAAAAGACATTTGTGCTCCTTTTAAATGAGAACATTACTGAATTTAAGACTTCTGAAAACCAAGAAATGGATAAGGTGCATATTCCTCCAGAATGTAGACATAACCTTGCTTTCAGATTTCCCAGCCTACCTTTGAATCATACTAGTGGACCACCTTACAGATGCTGCAAATAAGAGCACACAGAGACAAAACACAGAAAAAAAACCCCAAAAATACATGAATACCGTAGTACTAATTCTGTATGCACACTTGTCTCAACATAGTGAAATGTGCTTTTAATGAAGCAGGCAGAGGAGCTCTCTGTAGACTAGTTGATTCCAAAGAGTCCATCTTAGACTTCCTTTGTGTTGCTGTGTTCGTTTCTGAATCCCAGTTGTGATTTCAAGGCACAATCATCATGTTTGCTGTCATCTGAGAGACTTCAAGGCAAGAAGATACGTGTCTTATTGACACAACTTCCAAGTTCAGCTTTGGAATGAATTATGTGTATGGTTCTGTGCTCAAATCAGCCTTTGCTCTACTGCTGCTGTTCTGACAAGCTGTTCACTCTGCCACAGCTCACTGTCATTATTGTGATTGCAGCTGAGGTATAAGCAGATAAATTCTAGTGTTCAAAACTGATTAAGACTGCAAAAACTGAAACTCACTCTCAGTATAATTTCTCATGTCTTATTAATCTTATTAAATGCATAGATTTTTACATATAATAAACTCAGCAAACTGTCTAGGCTGTTCTTCTTATCAGGGAAATTATTGAAATTATCAAACGTGCTCTGAGGTTACAGATGTATATGTATAAATTATATCTTCCTGTAAAATATACCATTGCCTTCACTGCTTGTTAATCGTTCCATTAGCTTTACTGAGCAAGTTTTTTGTGGCCATTGCCCACCTCATCTTGAGAGGACTATCACATTGCAGAGCAACACACATGGTAACCTTTTATTTTTCTACTTCTTTGGATGACTCTGTCCTGCCTTCCACTTTTTATATGCATGTTCTCCTCTGCATGTGAGAACAGATTATTAGGCTATTTGCTTAAAGTCTAAGTTTTTTCATGTATGGTCAGACACTTCCAACTTCTTTTTCCTGCCCATAAGTATGGGGTAGAACTCTTTAATTTCTGCTTGTCTTTGAATACACCACTCTATGAATCCTGTTCATAATAATTAGTGTAGTTTAATTAATATGTTATTTTTGTCTCTTCCTTTTCATGTCTGGGTGGCTACATATTTCAAGAATATTTTTCTTTTTAGTGTTAAGAACTCCTTCAGGGCTGGGATTTAACTGAAGTGTAATCTTTAACATCTGAAAAATGTTCTTCTGAAAAGGGATTACTTTTCAAAGGAACTGATTCCTTGAGTTCTAGTTGTGGTAGCAGTACTTAAATTTCATAGCAAGCTTTCCCCAAATGACCTTAGAAGTCAGATGCCTGAAAGGAATTACATCTATTTATCAGGAAGAAAAATTCTCATCAGCTTGCCCAATGCACATTCATTAAGAAAGATGTCTACACCCTTTTCATTTTGAGTTTTTATGTCACCTTGTAGGAGAAAGGAGCCCAGTGTGATCAACCAAAGCAAGAGCTAGATCCTGCATCAAGCTCACTGTTCACAGACACCAGAACAAGCTACCCAGATATAGTTCAAAATGTATTAATACACAGCAAGAATGCTGCCTGACACACACCAAAGGAAAGATATTTTCGGGGCCATGTCCCTCTGCAAGCCCCTCTAGCCACCTTGAATTATATTGTGTTCTTGAAGCATTCTGGGATATCCGTCAGTTCCGGGGATGTCAATCTCTGTATATCACCATATTGTCCATAGTCACACTTTGCAGTGCCTGTGAAACCTGGGATTGCTGAATTCCTCAAAACCCTTTTTTTTAGTTATTTCCCCTAATCCAGGAGTCCTAAACAGGACCTTTTATATTCATCAAATATATCATTGCCTTTCCACTTGATTCCCTTAAAATCTTCTATCCATCTTTAAATGTTATCAAAGATAGGGAAATTTCAAATCTTCATGACTGAGCAATGATCCCCAGAGTGTCATAAAAATAGAGTAATTCTGGGACTAACCATTGCCCCAAATTTTTATTGCAAGACTCAAGTGTTTTTTACAGCCTCAGCGGGCAATAAGGGGACAAAAGGCCATTCTGTGCACCAGCACAGCCAATTTGAACACTCACAGACAAAAATCATCTCTTATACAAAAAGAACAAGTACAAAAGAAACGGAGTTTGCAATAAAGGCCTCTGAAAAGCAAGCAAAAATACTCGGATAAAGTAAGAAATTTTTTCATTAGTAATTATCTCGCTTTCAGGGGTTTAAATTTTCACAGTAAGTAAATGAATCTCAATTTCTAATAACATGTTCATTAGCTTTAACTTTGAGGCCTTAAGTTTAGAGCATTTAGTTTGAACTCAGAAACTGAGGCCCCTATAAGAAAAGATACAAGAACCCAGTGTCCAATACAACACTACTTTTCTTGTAAAAGTTCCAAATAACACTCACCTGCCTTTTTTTTCTTGTCATTTTAGTGCCTGATTTATAACTTTGAGGTATTTAAATATTAAACACGCCATGATAATGTAAAAACAGAATTTGTTCCAGTCTAAGTTTAGATTTAGTGCTACTGACAGGCTGGCACTATGTCAAAGCTGAGTGTATATATCATCAACCCATTTGCAGGGCTTAACATTAAATATTAACGATAGAGGTCATAGGCCATTTATTGGCATTGAATGAATCACCAAACTACTGACATTCTGAACAAGGAAATGCATCAGACTTTTCAATCCACTGTCTCTTGTTCACAGTAAATAAACAAGATGAATGAGCCCATTTCTGATTTGTACAAGGCTCTCAAGTAGGAGTATCCACTACAGGAATCTACATGAAAATCCTGGAACAGCTGCAGTGTGTAGCTTCTTTCCACGTTTCTGCTAATGTAGTGGCCAGACTAATGGTCTGTTTGAAATGACATCTTTGAAATGGTTTGACCAGATCAAGTAGGCTGAGAGGAGTAGAAAGAATCCACTCAGTATACCAGATCAACAGATGTAACATAGGAAAGCTATATAAACACAGGTATCATTAAAAAAAAATAGGAAGTTAAAACTACAGTATTCAGTACTGGTCCTCCGCTAGTGAGCTCATCATAAAGAGCATTTCTTAAAATGCAGTTCAGTTTTAGCACACATTATGTTACAACCTCAACAAACAAATCAGGAGAACAATATGATGCTGAAACCATAATGTCTCAGTGTAATGAGAGCTGTAAGCTGTGTAGACTTCTGAGAAATTAAACATTAATCTTCTTTGAATTGCTCGGCTGACCATATGTGATGTCCTTGCGTTTGTAGGGCACTGAAGAACTAGAAGTTCGAATCCTGGTGCAAGCTCGACCAGGCCAAGATATCAGGTCTGTATTTGTTAAAATATCTCTGTGTAAGGCTGATGAATTTCGAAGTAATTTTTTAATCATGAGTAGTACTGACATTTTGCCAGTCTCACTAAGGAGTGTCCATGGACACTCCTCGCCTGGAGCAAGACGAATCAAGGAAAGGTACTTCGAATCTCATTCTGTTTCTATTTCATGTTGTTTTTCTGTCCTGATTTTCAGACCCATAGGACATGACATTAAAAGAGGTGAATGTGTGCTGGCTAAAGGAACCCACATGGGTCCATCTGAGATTGGTCTCTTAGCAACTGTTGGAGTAACTGAAGTAGAAGTTAACAAGTTCCCAGTGGTTGCAGTAATGTCAACAGGGAATGAGGTAAGTTTGTTTAGCATTCTGAAATACTGTAAATTTTTTTGAGGCAGTGTTTTGGTTAGTGACTTCCATCCTATTCCCAAGCAGTCTCACTTTTTGAACTGCAGCTCATGTTGACATAAGCTATTTTTGTGAGGGATCAACCCATGATCATCTACTTGTGTTTTCTCCCTTAGGGGCTTTCTCACAGGTTTCACACTCTCTTTGCCAAAATTTTGGTAATGTATCCAACCTTGTGCCAGCTGCTTTCCTCCTGCCAGCAAGGGAGAACCTGTGGGGGTAGTCGGGGTTGTAATTCATGTTGCCAGTCATGACTGAAGAGTAATTTCTTTTAAGCAACACCCTCTATCTCAAATGGCAGATAAGCTGTCTTTGAAAATGGAATTGTTATACCAAATGCCTTGTTGCAGTATTGTGCCTCAAAATTCTTTCTACTAGTAGTATATGTTGAAATCCAGACACTCTCCTGTTGGTAGAACAGCAGACCTGCTTTATAATTGCTTTAACTACATCAGAAAATTCAGGTTTAAGATTTTAATTTTCTAACTTTACATATGTTGTGTGTTGACCCAGGCCAGCAACTGTGCCTTCTCACTTCTACCAGCAGTAGGATAGAGAAAGAATAGGAATAGTAAAACCTAAAGAACGTGTGGGTTAAAGACAGCATGAGGTTTTGACTGTCCTTTAACACAAACTTTTTGAAATCCAGACACAAATATTAACTCAATATATTGAGCTGTATTCTCATACAGTTTGAATATGTTCAGTTTGAAAGATTCTGAAATCTTCCCATAGGTTGAATTTTGTCATCTGGTGTACAGATTGTTGCCAGATTTCATAGCATAAACAGGGTGTGGCATGCAGGAACTAAACCATTAACTGAGGAATAAATCCATAGAGCTATAAGGATTACAGCTGGTGATTTTCTGATTAGCAACTTCCATATGAATGAAGATTCTTGCATGTCAGTAAAGGGTCCTTTACTCATGTGGGCATTCTCTTTTGTAAAATGTTAAAAGAAACCCTGCACAGTGGGTGTGTTTAAATCTTCACAGAAACAGAGCTGCAAGCCAAAGCATAAAATTTACCCATGCTCCATTTTTCATTATTCTTACCTTACTACCTAATGCTATGGTTTTGACAGATACATTCTTGTTAGTAGCATTATTATTTACCTCCTGTCAATATTGTATTGTCCTTTTGTGTCCTACATTAGAATTTATAATATATATATATAACACACATTTGCATATATATGTTTTTTAGTTTAGCTTCCAACATACACATGTGAGGTAACTGCCATGATGTACTATCTTGAGAGAAAGTTTTTAATCCAAAACAGTAACTGATGTAAGAACTAAGCATAAGGCTTCTGTCTGTTAATCCAATGCATAATAGCTTGTTGTATTTAAGAGACATCTTTTTTGGCAAGCAGACAATGAACTTCAAAATGTTCATTAATACCTTTAAATCTGGTTAACAATATCAATGAGGTTCCCTTAAAACCATTTAAAGAGGAGCAATAATGTGAAAACTGAAAAGTTTTTGTTTTGATTACTAATGTCTGAGATTAGAAGCCACGTACTCATAAGGAGTAAGAATGTTTTGCAGACACAGACCAGTAGAAACAAACTAAACAACATGGAGGATTAGAATAAACAAGCACATTACATATCTTATTATTTTAAAATCACTAAATCACTTTATACGTATGTTTCGTGATATGTGTCTAAAAATATCCTGTCCAACCCAAAGAAAAAAATCTCGCTTGTGTAAAGCACAGTATTCCAAGGAGACTGTCTGAGAGAGTTTCTGGTTTTACAGCTGCTGAATCCTGAGGATGACCTCTTGCCAGGAAAGATTCGGGACAGTAACCGTTCAACTCTCCTAGCTACAATCCAAGAGCACGGCTATCCAACAATCAACTTGGGAATAGTGGGTGATAAGTAAGTACCACATGTTAGTAAAGATGTCACTTCATATTCATGCGATGCACATTATGGCATCCATGGGAAAAAGAAATGCCAGAGAAAATGTCACTTATTATAAGTGTCACAGCGTTGTGACAAGGCACATCTTGGAGAAAGTATTTCACCCTTTTCATTATCTCAAGAAATACAAGTCTATTCTAATATTAGGGCAAATCTTTTGAAAAAAAAAATTTAATGGTGTTTAATTTGTTTTGCATTCAGTTTCTTGAAACAGATAATCTATTCCCTGTTGCAAATTGAATTTGTTGCTGCAGTATCCTTCCAAGCACTATACTTAAAACACATAAGGGGAGACAGTTCTACAGCAGCTATACTTTTTTTCTGATCAAATAAAAGGAGAAGGAAAGTTTGTCTTTGAGTTTATTTTCCATGCCAAAATTAATTTAGAGTATTAAATTTTGTCATATTCTGAGTAATTGCCTTTTAAGGAAGACCCCACTGCTGCATATTGCTCAACATTTCCAGAAATCTGTGGAAGAATTCCTTTTTTTTTAACTTTAGTGGTCTTTACTTTGATTGCCACAGGGTAGCACCCTACTGATCAGTCTTTCTGTTCATCTGACAGCGATTGCTCATTGTTTCCCAGTGGTAGTGAAGTGAATCTCTTGAGAACTCTAGGATAAGTGATGGAAGTGTTCCGTTTTCTGTCCTTCACAAGACTATGCAGTGACTGCCATCCATGGCTTGAGTTCCTCAGCATAATGTATTTCCTCAATTTATTGAGACCTGGAGGCTTTGAATAGTCTTTCTTGCATTTCAGTTTGGGCATCAAACCAACTGACAGACTTGGTTTGACAGGGAGTTGTTCAGGGTGTCCTAGTGGGTAGTTAAAAGCAAAAAAACCCAAAAAATAAGTAAAAGCGGATAAGCAGATAACAAGGTCCCAGTCAGGGACTAAAAGGGAATCCAACCAGGTTATTGTAAGGGATCAGGTAATTTTAAACCCAGTCTTCCCTGTAGCAGTATTCAATACAAAACCACACTAGCTTGACAGAAAGTATATGAATGGGCCAGCCACTGCATGGTTTTGCAATAATTAAATCAACCTGCATGGTGGCTGCAGGAAATGCAGTTGAATTTGAAGTACTCATACAGGGAATGTTACTTCACAGTTGTGATCTTAGGGAAGGCAAACCCTTCTGGGCAGTCTCACTGCATCCAGGTATCCCTTTTTGCTTCTCTAGCCTAGCAAAACACCACTGCAGTTCCAAGCAGCAATAAATATCAAGCCCTCCTGCCCATGAATGCTTCCAGTTTCACGTGGTGAGGTCATACAGGGTCTAAGCTCATGAGACTGTTCTTTCCAGAAATGGTATCTAAATGTCCTCAATTGCTAGAGCTTTCTATATTATATATATTATAAGGACCTTTTTAAACTTTAACACATAATTAGAAAAGTTTTCAAATGGAACTTATATCCAGAGATCAGGTTCTAGATTTGTGTAGCTAAGAAAAAAGAAAACAGGCGCAAAAAGTCTCTTAGCTCCCGAGAGTCATCTCTGTTTAGAGAGATTGGCAGGGGTTGTTTTTGGCAAAAGATTGTAGGTGGAATTTCTTGCCACCTGCAGGAGCAAAAGTAACAGCTACCGTTACCAACATTATTGTCAAGGACAACTTACATCCTGTATTACCAATGTATCCTGTATTGCCGATTATCCAATGGAAAAGATGCTTTCCCTGGTAGTCCTCTATGGAAAAATAAGAGTGGAAATCTTGTTTGTTCTTTCTGGTCTTGTCCTAATCAAATAGGTATAGTCTTTACTTTGCTGTAAAGTCAACATCAAAAGGAGAGTTTAACGTAAGGTCATTGTGCAAAACTGTAGCTATGTACTCCATCACCTTCAGGAATTGTTTCTATGACCTCTCAGGCATGGAGAGTCTGTGAAGATAAATAATCTTAAAAGCTCTCAGTAATAAGTGGCAAACAACTTTAGAATCATAGAATCATTTAGGTTGGAAAAGACTTTAGGATTATCAAGTCCAACCAGCACTGCCAACTCCACCACTAAACCATGTCCCCAAGTGCCACATCTACATGTCTTTTAAATACCTCCAGGGATGGAAACTCCATCACTTCCCTGAGCAGCCTGTCACAGTGCTTGATGGCCTTTTCAGAGAAGAATTTTTTCCTGATATCCAATCTAAACCTCCCATGCTGAAAATTGAGGCCATTTCTTCTCATCCTGTCATAAGTTACTTGGGAAGAGACTGATCCCCACCTGGCTACACCCTCCTCTCAGGTGGTTGTAGAGAGTGATAAGGTCTCCCCTGAGCCTCCTTTTCTCCATGCTGAACAATTCCATCTCCCTCAGACACTCCTCATCAGATGTGTGCCCCAGATCCTTCAACAGCTTCATTGCTCTTTTTTGGAATGTCTTTCTTGTAGTGAGATTTCAGACCCAAGAGAACTTTTTGTTTTCTATATTTTTACAGATATATTTTATGACCTTTTTTACTTGTCAGATGCTAGCTGAACACCAGGCAGCAAACAAATATATCAGTCTGAGGAACTGCCTGCAGCTTTGCTTTCAGTTTCGAGAGAGGTTGATTCTTTTGAATCTTCACTATTAAAATGATCCCCAAGTCTAATGACCTTGGCAAAGGTAGTAACAGTTCTTTTCAAATGTTTGGTTTCCTGCTTTTGTCTGTTTCATGCTAACAAAGCAGAGGTAACTTTAGCTCATAGAATAGAAATAATGAGCCTCCCATTGCAGAATTGCAGTAAGTTTTGAAAGAATAATTCAGTACTGTTGTCTTAGCTAAAAACCTTCTGCACCAGATAACAGGATTCAGTCTTAGCAAGTCTTCTGGCATTCTTCCACATTCACATGCCCTGTCCATATCTTTACAGCTAAATGTATCTGCAGTCCTGTTTCTTTCAAAAGGAAAATCTGATTGTGTAAGTCATTTTGATAAGAAGTACGGTGTTATTTCATTATGAAATAAAGCTAACTGAGTGTTGCCCATACAAATATTTTAGTACATATCTTTTGGGCTAACATGACTGATTTGATGGAGTACTGTGGTGCTTGAACAAATGCAGGAGGACTTACCAGAAAGATGTTACAAGGGTTACAATTTTAACCCTTTAGTTAGATTGTTTGTAGAGAGGAGGAACAAGCCTTCAGTGTCTGTTTTATGGTTTACTGAAGTTAAACCATAGATTATGTGTGTTTGTGTGTGCTCATGTATATATGTGCATTTTGTATGTATAACATGTATCCAGACATTGAAAAAAGGAACATTTTATATGCCTGCAATATCTACTGGTGTAGTAAATAAGTGGCAAACATACTTTTCAGAAGGAAAAATTCAAAACTTGTACTGTTTTCTTAATGTATCATGGCATATATTTTTTCCTTCCCATACTTTAGATTTGAGTGGGGTTTTTTCCTATTTCCTTTTTTTAATACAATTTTCATGGGGTAAATTTTACTTCATTTTACTGGGAGTATCGCTTCCTGTACACCATAAGCACTAATGGAATTTGAGACAGCACCTAATAGGGAGCACAGTTGAGTGTTACAATTGCTGTAATGGGTCAAGGTTTTTAACAACCATGGAAATCCTCTTCAAGCATATTTGCAGATCTAATATTCAAGCATAATTTTTTTTTTTAGGGTAGTATTTGCAAAGACAAACTTAGAGGTTATGCCTATGTATCTTTTCAGCATACAAATTGCTCAGGCGTTTGGGTATAAAACCAGCTTGTCCAGACGCGTCAAAGCCCAGGATTGTGATACATGGAAACACAGAGAATGTGAAAAGATGGGGAAGCACACTGAATGTCTGGGTTTCTGAAGAGTAGTTAGAAGCATTTTAAAAATGCCTTTGCATATTAATCATAAGTGAAGTTACATTTTGAGCTGACCACTCAAGTCTGACTTAGCCTACAGCTGTACTTTCATTTGAAACCAATATTGTCTTTCTTTTGGGAGCATTTTAACAGTTTCTGAGATTGTCATCATTGTTTCTGTTCTCATAAATTGCATATATCACTCAATATTCAAAATAAAAAACAGCAATCCCAAAACCCAGAGTTAAAGTTTACAGTTGAAATCCCGGAAGAAAGCAATGGGAGAAAGTAACAGACCTGGGAATGTGATACAGCTGAAGTTATGTCTGGACAGAAGTCAAGATTTTCTTCTATTGGTGTTCTTAGCATGTAAAAGCCAAGCTGTTTGAAAAGCACACACATCTGAGTAGAAATGGAAGATATATCCATTTCCAGAGCTACTGCAAACACAAGAAACAAATGCAAAACTAAGGAAAGGAAGAACCCTTCTGATATTGTTGTTACTGTTGCGTCTTTCATTTTTTTCAGAATCTCAGACTCGCTAAAAAATTTTTTAAAAACAACTGGCCAGCTAAAGGTGGTATTTCAGTGTTCTTCTGAATGTTGCCTCCTAATAACAAGACCAGGTTAAAAAGGCTTCTAATTTCCTTTGCTTTGCTTATAGTCTATGAAGTTATTTTGTTTTCTTGGAAACCAGTGATAAAAATAAGTTGCATTTCTGATGTGATCTGTATAAGTCTAATTATCAGGATATTTTTGTGTCTGATGATTTCATTTGTGTTGTTCTTTGTATTCCATTGTTTAAAGTGTAAAGTTTAGCCCTAGAAAAACCTGCTGTAGTGTGGGCCTCTGTTCTACAAAGTCATCTTCCATTTTGACAGCTTTTCTTCTATGAGACTTTCTTATTAAGTTTGCTAAGGAATTTTGATCATGTATGTAATGAATTCAATTTCCTCTGCTTTTACCTTTGTTTACATGAGTGTATTTTCCCTTCTCTGCATTCTTTTCCCTATTTTCTAATTAAACCTGTATCATTTTTCTCAGAGACATGTATAATATTTAGTTGCTTCCAGCAGCATTTTCATTTATGAGCCTATGATTTCACAGTGGAGAGAGAAACAGTCTCTCTCTTTAGGAGAAAAATTCAGGAAATTCATAT